CTGAAGTTTTAGGGTGTACCCTGCCCACCCTCAACCTTGCCCATTCAAACTCAGCCTCCCCTTACCCGCGGGTAACATGTACGGTCCCGTGAAAGTTTTTCATGGGTAATATCTCGGGAACCTCGGAGTCTAGGAGGCTAAAGTTTTAGGGTAATGACCCCATGCCCGCCCTCAACCTTGCCTTTTCAAATTCAGCCTTCCGTTACCCGCGGGTAACATGTACGGCCCTGTGAAAATTTTTCATGGGTAACTTAATATCTCGGGAACCACGGAGTCCAGGAGGTCGAGATTTTAAGCAGGGACCCTCTGCCTCCGCTCAACCTTGCCCATTCAAATTCAGCGTTCTCGCGATCTGGGGTACCACCTACGGCCTCGAGAAAGTTTTGGCGGGCACACTTTTAACTCGGGAATCACGGAAAGATATTCACCCTTCAGTGTTTCAAATTCAGCTTTCATGCGCTGGTGCGTAAAATTTTTAACTGTTTTCCAATGTGTGAAATATTTTTGCATAAACTAAGGTACAAAGCATTGAAAATCATTAACAGACAATCGTTCGATGGACTGAATTGCACAAAACACATGATCGCACCGGCTAGTCTGGTGTGCGTTGCCATTTATTTAAGCCTGGAACTATGGATTGCTTCACATTGGCTATTTTTACTGAAGCAAAAAATATTTCAAATTTTTGCGAGCTTTTATCCCTTTCTCCCACATAATCATCAAAATGCGGTCAAATTTTTTTTTAACGGTTGTACCTCAATGATATTCTTGTCTCTATCGGTAGTAATGGACCCCTTTTCCGAATTTATAATTTTTTTTTGCTTTTTTACATCTGCGCAAATTTGGAAGACATGTTGGTGTGCCTACTAAGCGTTTACAACATCACAAGCACTTACAGCATCATCGAGTTAGGAAAGTGAAAATCCGAAAGTTTTTTCTTCGGTTTTGTAAGAATGTAAGAAAAAATATATTTCTAGTACATTTTTTTCTTTACTTTTCTGGATATCCACTTTTAACTTAGGTATTATGAACAGCAGATTTATACTTGATGCACATCCACATATTTACTCTCCATAAGCAAATTCAGAATAAAAAAGCAGCCCA